GAGAGAGAGAGAGAGAGAGAGAGAGAGAGAGAGAGAGAGAGAGAGAGAGAGAGAGAGAGAGGGATGTCGCAGTGTGGCTCACGAGGGAAATTCACCCAGCTCCCGGACGGCGACGCGCCCTTTGAGGAGGCCGATGAGGCTTGACAGCGCTTGTTGCAAAGCAAGCACGCTGTGTGGGAATGAGTGCGTCAAGGGCAGGAGGTGGGAGTGCGGGGGAAGGACCAATACAAGCTACGTTGCACGTTGTGCAACAGTGTTTTCCCCAGTGCGCGGACAAAGGCGATTGACCACTTCACTCGCCCGTCTGCGCATTGCAGATTCCGTACGGGAGAGATCCTGTACAAGTTGATGAGGGACGGGGTCACCATCACTGACCCTGTAGGGAGGGCAATGGCAGCCAGGCATCTCGAGGTCCACGAGGACGCGTTGGAGATGGAGGACCTGCAGAGGGCCGAGGAGGCAGCTGCCACAGCGACAGGTATGTCGATGCATGATGACCAAGTTCGTGGCCGTGGACGGCAGTCAGCTGCCTAAGGGCCGCAGACTGTTAGGATGGATGAGGGAGCGGTCGATGGTGGGCCAGCGGACGACGAGCTGTCTATCCTTAGAGAGAGGGTCCGCGTCCTTGAGGTGGAGCAGGGGTCGACTCAGGTGCAGAACACCGCACGACAGCCTTCAAGGCGAAAAACCGACTTATCATGGCTCAGGACAGAGGGCACACGTGCACCACGATCGTCGCACGCTGCAGACGAGGTTGGATAGTTGGGCAAAGGGAGGCCTACAACAACAGTATGAGAGGTTGTGGGCCAGAGCCTTGTACAGGGCTGGGGTGCCATTCACATTCATACAGCTCGAGACTACGCAAGAGCTGCATGACTTCATGGTATCATTGATGAGGGTCACGATTGGGCCTGCTTTGGTCCTCCCCTCATACACTGACATGCGCACCCGCCTCCTCGACGAGATTTATCATGAGATAGCAGAGAGGGTCGCTCCGAAGAAGGCAAAGTGGAAGTTGATAGGGTGCACGATGATGACGGACGGGGCAACGACAAGGTCGTACAAACCTATCATCAACTTCATCGCAGCAGGCGAGGACGGGCCCGTGTTGATCAGTATCGTTGACATGTCGGAGAGGGACAAGACTAGAGTGGCACTGGCAGAGTTGTGGGAGGAGGTCATCCGCGATATTAACGTTAAGCATGTGAATGCTTATTGCACTGACAACGCTTATGCAAATAAGGTGGCTGCACAACGGTTGCAAGAACATCCGGACAGAGACATATCCCGGATCCCTTGGCTCCCCTGTGCAGCTCATTGCTTGAGTCTTCTCCTGCGCGACATCACGCGTTTCTCGTGGGTGCGGCCGATCTTGAAGAACACATACAAGGTTGTGATGTTCTTCAAGAACATTCACAAGGCCCTCTCGTATCATCGGTCCTTCAAGGAGCAGGGGCAGCTGGAGCTGATCCGGCCATGTGACACACGGTTCGGGTCTGCATATCAGATGGTGGAGCAACTTACCAATCAGGAGAGGGTATTGCGGATGGTCGTGGGCAGTGTGAGATGGCGGAGCACCCTCTGGAGGGGGAAGGCGGGGCAGGATGAGCGCCCTGTTTGACAACTTGTGTTGTCGGCGTCATTTTGGGATTGTGCGCACCGGGTGCAGGAGGTCATGAGGCCAGCTTATAGCCTGTTGCGTTCCATGGACAGAGACGGTTCCTCCCCCACCACCCTTTGGGCGTTTGTTGACAGTATCGCAGCGCGTGTGCGCGACATGGGCCTACCAGAGGCAGACGAGGCAGAGATTATGGAGAGGGTTGACTACCGTTGAGGCATGATGCGCCAGCCGGTGCATGCGCTCGCATACCTTGTTGACCCGCGACGGCGTGATGTGAGTCTCCTCGCTGACACTGACAGCGCATTGGTGCAGACTGCATTGCACCATTTGGCTAGGTACACGGATGCTGGAGAGGGGTCCGAGGAGCATACTACGATGTGGTACGGCTTGTACTTGTTCCACCATGATGATCCCCACGCAGACCCCAGGCCCAAATGGTGGACAGAMCCCGTTGCTATCGCGCAGGCGAAGCACGGGGTGCACCCCGCGTGGTGGTGGTATTTGTATGGTGGCGACTTCCCGCGGCTGCAGGAAGTCGCCATCAAGGTGCTCTCTATATGGTCCACTGCCTCTCCATGTGAGAGGAATTGGGCCACATATGACTTCATTCACACGAAGAGGCGCAACAGACTCTCGAGTGATAGTCTGCGGAAGCTCGTATTCATTCATTGGAACATGCAGCTTCTGCGAGCGAGGTCGACTTCACGGAAGGGGTATGTGGATGTTTGGGAGGATTTGGTGGAGGAGCCGCCGGAGCCAGTGGTTGGCGATCCTTCAGAGGAGGTGTACGCCGAGGGCATGACGATCCCTGAGGAGGTGACTGCAGGAGGAGTCTAAGAAAAAAAATATATATATATATATATTATATATGTATATTTGATTGTAATAATTGTTGGGAAGAAGGCAAGAATGTTTTCGAAGGTCTCGGTTAGGGCTCGCGTCCTTAGTTATGGCCCTGCTTGCAGGGTAGAGACATTGAGACACTTAATGAAAAGTCGACGTTTGTCTAGGACAATGGGGAGAGGACGGTTGATAGGGCCTCTGAAACTTGTGTTGTAGTACGTATGTTTAGTACACCGGCGTCCTAGTGTCAGGACAATGGAGACCCAGGTTAGAATCCTGGCAGCATATAGTTGTGTTTGGTATGATTTGATGGAGGCCTCGAACCGGAGTCAGTCGGCTAATCGGATTGGTTCCTCTCCCGTCAGCATTTGAATTATGGTTGAACTGATAGCTTCTTGATTTTGTGAAGCGACAGGGACGTCGCTTAATATGGTCCGGTAAACTGTCGGTGCGAATACCCTTACAAGGGTATCCGCCCTGTTTTTTGCAAGCATCAGAAAATAAGTTTGGTTTAAAGTCTGGGTATACCGCGCGAGGCGCGACTGTGCCTGTGGTTTGTGATGATTGAAAGGCTGACTAGAGTAGAGAGTGTGTGGGCGTGCAGACTTAAGGGGCACATGATTTCTTTCGTTTTTGATGATAGTGAAAACCGGCGTTGATCGCTGGCCAGATTTTTATTTTTGATTAAATTAGGATTAAAAAGATTATGGCTTAGGATTGGTATGCTTGCCTGTGACTTGTGCATATGTATGGAGGACGGTGTCAACAACAATGCAACTTTGGAACGTCCCGATAGATCTCCGCATCGCACAATATCCGCTTATATAGGTGTCCGCTAGTACTTGGCTCAGCCTTGGATCTAACACTATTGGTTACAATGTACGACTTTCATTCGGGAGATTCAGGGATCGAGACCAAGCGGCGATGACGCAGGAATGTCAGAATAGCGCGAATGGACCGAGGGATTGAGGGTCCGGCGGGGCTATCCCCCATGGTTTTGTTGTCGGCGGTGTCAGAGCGGTGCTGGCGGTTTCTTTTTCATCGTTTGTCATTCTTTAACAATTGGAATTCTCTTAGATATTTTATTAGTTTGGTCCGGGAGGTCAATGCGCAGGAGAGTGGGGGGTGTACGTGGTCGTGGCTCCCCTAGCTTCCCATTTGGAGAGCGTCGAGAGTCTAAACTAGAAGGGAGTCGGAGAACATGACGAGCGGGTCTCCGGGGCTGCAGACAAAGGCTGGCAGGGGTCGCTATAAGCGCACAATCCACCACTCGCTGCTTGTAGTGAGAGGCTTAAGTGTGAGCATGCCTGCTAGGGCCCGACAGACAGGGGTTGTACCCAGGCGTGGTGGGGCGAATTGACCAAGGGGCGCTACGGGAAGTCCACAATGGTGCATCGGTAGGTGGTCGGCTATGAAGATCGGGGTGTGGGCTTACCTGTTGGAAGCTCGGAAGGGTGGTAGAATGTGTCGGAGAAAAAAAAAACGACCAGAGAAAGGTCAGAAAAGGAATGCAGGGAGTGTTGTGTGGAGGCTCGCGGTGATCTTGCTGCGCGAACTGTCTGTCGGACTTGGGTATAGAGTCGAAATAGCTGACCAGTCCGCTTAACAGTTCGGATTCCTTCGAAGTTTTCCCACAGTTTTGAGCCTGGGCGGCCAAGGGACTGCTCGCTACGATGGATAGGCAGGGAAGTGGGCGCAGACTAGGACAAAGAAGGATAAGGAAGTAAAAACGAAGATAGGTGCAGATTTGCGCCGGGTGCGTTCGACAGTGGAGATGGAGGGGTAGCGAACCCGAGCGCAACAAAGGGAGGATAGCGCACGCAACACTTCACAGAATCGGGCGGGAAGAGACACCACACAGGGGTTTAGAGGGAGGGTGAAGCCAACTATGATGTTAGTTTTGGTAGAAAATTAGTAGGATAGACGACAAAAAAGAGAGTAGGAGTGCGCCGAGATGTGATGAAGGAGAGATAAAGGTAGGATGGAAACTCTTACCTCGCTCGGTGCCTAACGGAATCGAGTATGGGAAGAGGCTAAACCGAGTATTTTCTGTCGTGCGAGTCGAGTGGCCATGATAGGATTGGAGCTTGGAGGTTAGTTTCAGTGTAGAGGAGGAAAGGAGCTGCGAGGTGGGTGTGGCAGAATGTCAGAGGGAGAATAAAGGAACAAACGTGTTTGCTCATTTCTGAGCGGATTTAGGCGAGTGAAGATTCATACTAGGGGTTTGAGTGGAGGCGAATCCATTGGAAGTATTAGAATAGCCAAAGGGTTAGTGTAGAAGAAGATTAGTATGGAAAGTTACGGCGCGGAGATGGCGAAGGCTGGAGAAGAAGGAGAGTGAAATCGGGATAACTCGGTCATTTTATAACCGATTTTTCTAATTTAAAATGCTAGGCTGGGATTTTATGGCAGGGCGAGTGCGATGG